TCTTTCTTTCTTTCTTTCTTTCTTTCTTTCTTTCTTTCTTTCTTTCTTTCTTTCTTTCTTTCTTTTTCTGAGACAGGGTTTCTGTGTGTAGCCTTAGCTGGGCTAGAACTCACTCTGTAGAGCAGGCTGGCTTTGAACTCATAGAATCTGCCTGCCTTTGCCTCCTGAGTGCTGGGGTTAAAGGTGGGCACCGCTGCCGCCACCACCCAGTGAAACAGTGGTTTAACGGTAGCTCAAACTGGTCACACACACTCACTATAGAGTGCTGGCTTGCCTAATCGCATGATCCTATCTCAGCCATTCTAGTGATGAAACGTGTATATTAAGGGGAAAATCTTCTAGAACACTGTTTGTAATACCTCCTTCTGTGATTATTTGGAAAATCACTGCAGTGGGTTTTCATTGTGGTTGAAGCATATGGAGGAATTTCTTTCTCGTGTTTCTTTCTCCACAATCTCACTTCCATAGGTTGGCTGGAGCATGTGTGTCTTCTTGGGTGTTCAGAGATCTCCCAAGAATTGGTTTAGATTCTTGCTCCCACAGGGCAGAGACTGAGCTTGGCTTGTGTCCTCTCTCAAACTCTCCTGCCCTTGCCCAGATAGGTGTCAGTTAACAGTTTATTGTGGAAGTCGGGGGTGAGCCATCTATTTAAAATCTGAGCACAACAGTTGGTTTTTGTCACATTCTGCTCATTCTCCAAACATGCTCTCAAAAACTAATTTGCTTGAGCTTCTGTATAAAGTGATGAAAATACTGACATGTCCAGGAATAAAACCCAAGACAAACGCTAAAACCTTGGAATTTCGGGCCTCACTAACCATGTGTCACTGTCTACTAAGCATAGTTAGCATTTCCTTTTAACAAATCTAGTCAATAAAGTCTTGTTTTATAATTATTCAGGGGTCTTACAAATACAGCACATTTTTCAAATGTAAGAAAATGCAGTTTTAGTGTGATGTTTTAAGTGGAAATGGAGACAGAGACTATCCGAAGAGTAAGCCAGCATTTTACTCTGCTTCATTTATAGCTAGTATCAACTTTTATTCTAAATCTTAAATACATTTAAACAGAAATATTTTGGGGACTTTAAAAGTAATAACGATAAGCCTGCATTAAGTAGCTTTTATATTTGCCTGGCAGTATGTGTGTATATATGTACATATCCACACATATATGTACATGTGTGTCCTAATCATACTAATAATGATATGTAGCACCATTCTCGCTGCCTTCATTTATTTGTAAAGAATTAGAGCTGGAGAAATGGCTTAGCCATTTAGAGCTCTGTTGCTCAGCCAGAGGCCTGGAGTCCAGTTTCCAGTACTCGGATCTTATGGCTCACAACTGCCTGTAACTCCAGCTCTAAAGGATACAATGCTCTCTTCTGGCTTCTGAGGGCACACGCACATGCACGCACACACACACACACACACACACACACACAAATAAAAATAAATCTTTTACAAATAGGAATTGGGATTTAATAAATTTTTCATTGTTCATTACAGAGTTTTGACTAAATCAAAGCCTATCTTGGGCCAGCCTTCTTGCTACAAGGTTTCCCTAGCTATCATTTTCTCTTCCTGTCCCTACCCTGCTCTTCCATCTGTCCCCACTTGGCCCTGGACTCTGTAAATCAGAAAGAGTTGACAAGGGTGTTGAACATTCTTAATGCATAGACTG